TTCCTGTTTTTTTTGCTTTTTTTTTTTTTTGAGTTGGAGTCTCACTTTGTGGCCCAGACTGGAGTGCATTGGCTGCTCTCGGCCACGGCAACCTCTACCTGCTAGGCTCCGGCGATCCTTCTGCCTCGGCCTTCCAAGTAGCCGGAATTACAGGCGCGTGCTACCACGCTCAGCTAATTTTTTGATTTATTGTAGAGATGAGGTCTCGCCAAGTTGCCCAGGCGGGTCTCGAACCCGCGGGCTCAGGCAATTCACTCACGTCAGCCTCCCAAGGCGCGGGATGACAGGCTGAGCCACCGAGCCTGGCTTAATTTTTTGATTTATTGTAGAGATGAGGTCTAGCCAAGTTGCCCAGGCTGGTCTCAAACCCGTGAGCTCAGACGGTCCTCTCACTTTGGCCTCCCAAAGTGCTGGGATTATGAACCACTGCACCCAGCAAGAGAAACAGTTTTTAAAAATGAACGCTGTTGTCTTTCAACATAGTACTAGGAGACAGAGAAACAATAGACAAGGAATGGCTATTTTTGGTTATTAGCTTTATGATCATTTTAATTCTCAAAAATATATGTAGTTAATATTCTAGAGAATAACTAATGTGGATATCAAATACATAAATATACAAAGCAATAAATACAGTATTTGTCATCTAGACAATAAGGCTCAAATTATGCTAGAAATTAGAGATCAGTGTTGTAGGTTAAATTGTGACCACCTCTCCAAATTTGTATTTTGATGCCTTAACCCTCAGTACTTCAGAATAAGACTTTCTGTAGAAATAGGATCATTTCAGGTTTAACTAGCAATTGAGGTCATTAGAGTGAACTTTAGGCCAATATAACTTGTGTCATTATTTAAAAAAGAAAATTTGGACACGGGCTGGCACACAGGGAGAAGGCCATGTGAAGTGATGGCAGAGATTAGGTTGATATTTCTACAAGCCACAGAATTCCAGATATTACCAGCATACCATCAGAAGCATGGGACAGATCCTTCCTCACAGAAAGCCCTTGGAAGCAATCAGCCGTGCTCACGATTTGATCTTAGAATTTTAGCCTCCAGAACTGTCAGGCAATCAATTTCTGTTAAGCCACCCAATTTGAGGTAGTTTCTTACAACAGGTCTAATAAACCAATACAGTACAGTCACTGTATTAGAAGGAAAAACTAAAAACAGCTCAGAGGTCTGATAAATCCAACACAACTCCCTAGTAATAGTCTTGAAATTTTGGAGGAAAAAAAATCAATTGAAGATGCCATCCAATACATTATAAATATTTTGTGTAAAAATAATTATAAAATAGTTCATTCCTTTTAAGAAATTACTATTAGAAAAGAAGATATTAATTGAATCAATCATAGCAACAGGAAGTAGGGATGGGAATTATAAACAAGGATCTGTGACCTTTTTTATTTTTTTAACTTAGCTGTTGAGTACTCAAACAGCCTTAATTATGCTCTCAAATCTGAATTTCAGTGTACTAAAAATAATAAACAAAGATGATCAGTGATGGTTTTACATATAGAACAAAATTTAGAAAGAATAAAAATATATTTGGTTGGACAACAGCAAAGTTGATAGAAAAGAAGATATTGTCTTTCTTAGGGATGTGACGTGCTTCATTCTTTGGGATAATTTCTGTCTTCTCTTTGGGTCTGCCTTATGACTAACAATTCAGTCCGGAAGTGAGTGTCCAAATGAGACACTCACTCATGTCTTCATTTCCTGGCTGTCTAGCTACCATCTTCATTTTGTGTCTCTTATTCTTCATCCTCATTTGAATAGTATGTGTGCTTATCGTGACAAGTCCCTTCTTTGATAATAGTTAGAATATGAATAATTACGAAATACATGAACTCTTGTGATCACCATAGCTCTTATGAGCAGCAAACACAACCTATATCAATACTTTTTAAAAGATGTCTCTGCATCTATAGTGACCATCTGTCCCGGTGAGCTGAACTAGGGGGGTTTCAAGGACAAGGGATTCCATGACAGAATCCATGGCGGTCCCAGGCATACAGGATAGTTACTGATCTAAAACACTGCTGTCTTACAGCCAACAACCATATTTTATTTTTCTTTTAGATCAGAAAATATAGTTTATTTAGCAAATAAATTAGAAACAGAGAGAGAGAGGAGATTCACCTCCCTAAGCCAGAAAACATGGCCTGGCCATAGCTTCAAGAGCACCTGGCCACCCATAGCTTAGCAAGGCATTGTCAGAGCTTTAGGCTCTAGTTTGTGACTGAGATTATGATTATCCCAACAAACTCACTCATAGTTGTTTGCTGATTCATCTAGTTTTAAATAAGAAACAAATCTCACTTCAACAGATGAGAAGTAAGCATGCAAATAACCAAGTTTTCAGCCTAAGAAAATCCTCTTTATCATGACCTTTCCAACAGACCCTCCTAGCTGGTCATGACTTCCTGTGTACGAGAGAGAGGTTTGCTGAAACCTTGAGCTAGATATGTTAGGTTTCACCAGCTATTAGGGAACCAGATTGTGTTTTTACTAAACTGTCCGTGCCTGGCTGTCCTTATAACTTAGTCTCTTGCTGGTAACCCTTTTGAATGCTTTTATTTTTCCTCACAGACCTCTGTAATGTATCCAGTTTGCTTTGGTAACCAAACATTAAACAATCAAGACTCTGAGAAAGAAATAGATAACATTCCTTTCTCATGATTATCCTTACAAGCCTACTCATGGACCTGATTCTTCTGCTACCTCTGGATAAAATACATAGCAAACCCTGTTTCTGTGGTTACTCCCAGATAACAAAAAGTTATCCAAAGTCACTACAGCTTCCAAAGTGGTCTCTGTTCAGAAATTAATATGTCTTTCTGGCATTATAATTCAAATCCAAACTTCATTCATAATTGAACTTATCCCTTCCTGTAGGAAAGAATTCTATGTAAAGTGTTTGACTTTTTCTGTCTTTACTAAGCTAGCCCAACCTGATTACACACAACTACTATCAGAGATCTCAGACCTCTCCGTGCTTTGAGCATGAAAATGGAGAAGCGATAAGGGGATGGGAAAGATATGTAGGTACTAATATAGTGTGAAGGCTGGTGACCTTTCTGAGTTTCTCAGAGACTCTGGTTTGCATCAAATATCCCACCTGTAGGTACATGACTTGCTTGGTATCTCTTCCCTACCAAATCAATTACACTCCCTCCCTCGGACCCTGGGGATATGTGGTAATACAGATTCAGTCATTATTCCCTTGGAAAACACTGAGAGAAATTCTCGTGATGGCCCACGCTCTCAAGGACCATTACCTTAGACTCATCACATATAGCAATGCCTGTTCCTTCCACACACTGCCTAATTTGTGTTCGGCCTCTTAGCAGGTAGCTCCAGTCACCATCTCTATTTTGAGATGTATCAAGCTTGAATGATACGCTAGCTGCTCTGTCTCCCAGGTTCCAAGGGATACTTTCAAATCTTTCTCAATGGGCTAGAGAAGAAAATATGTCACCCTCCATCCTACCCAACACCTTCATGATGACACTTAATTGTGTCTATGTTATTGTATCAGAAAAACCTTCATAAGTGAAAATAAGCTTTGTCCAAAGGAATCCTTTTGTTCTCCAAATTCCCTGACCATTTCAACTCAGTCCTTTTAAGTGTTCCAGGTCACAAAACATAAGACATTTTCTACATAGGATCTGCCTCTTCGGTCAACACTTCACTTTGGAGCGAGAGTTGTTGGCACCTAGTGTGGCCTCAATGATCACTGAAACTGAAATAGTTCCGTTTCCCACCATTGACTCTCTCTCTCAGAATCTTTCTTCATGACTTGCTGGGTAATGGAATGTGTTAGATATATTCCCTTTAGCCATGGAAGACAACATCTGTCCAAATACTATTGATGACCCCACCCTGGTAAACATGATTACAAGCTCTTGAGTACAAAACTCTACCTTCTAGTCAATTTATAACAGTGCGTCACCTAACACGGGGAACTTCATCTGAATAGTTGTTGACTTATTATCGCTATCCTACAAAAATTTGATAATGATATTTTTAAAGAAATATCATGATCAAGTTCACAAAAGTTGACAAGATTGAAGAAACACTGATTTGCTAAAATAATAGGAGTAGGAAAAGCAAATACTATTATGTTTTATTAAGTAAGGGCTTATAAATTCAAGCATTAGCCACAACATTATGTTAAATGTTGCAGAATTGAAGTATAGCTTAAAGGTTTTTAAATGTGCAAGAAGTAAATATTCTGAGGGAGAGAAAAAAATACAGCAGTTTTACAATAACATGAACTTCACTTGATAAAACAGTTTAAATCATTCTCTCAAGAAATATCATTTCAAGACTTGTAATACTTGAAAGTCTTGACAGATAAAGACTCTTCATTGTTACAATGAATGTGAATCATTGGTAATTTCTCTAATAAAATAATTGTATCTATGTTATTGTATCAGAAACACCTTCATAAGTGAAAACCATAAACATATAATTACTTTAAATCTTTCAATGCTTCCTTGCCACTTATAAAATACAGTATGGGATAGGAAAAAAACAAAACAAAACCCACATTTCCAAATGCAAACTCAAAGCAAGTCAGTCCCAAATAAGCTAACATTGATAAAGTAATTCTCATCCTTATAAATTGCCTTCTTGCAGGAAACAGACCTCATCCTGACTTTTAATATTTCGATGCACCGATCTTGGTGGATGGAGAATGGACCGGGATGTACGGTGACGTCGGTGACGCCGGCCCCAGACTGGGCTCCAGAAGACCATCGCTACATCACGGTCTCAGGGTGTCTTCTGGAGTACCAGTACATAGAAGTGGCTCACAGTTCCCTCCAGATCGTCCTCGCAGTAAGTGTTGCTTGCCAACAGCTCCTTCTAGCGCTCCTGGAATCATTTTGTTTCAGTGCTGACTCAGTGCTCACAAATGGAATCTGCCGGTAGAGTGTGGCCTTTTTGCTCTTTCCTAATTAATGCCACTTTTAATAGGAATGTGTCAGGCGAAGCCAAGCCATCTCCTGGACTGAGCTTGCTGGTTTTCTGCAGTAATCATTAGATAGCCTTTGGCATCATCAGTATTTTACACAGGAAATTCAGTCAAGACGTGGTAGCTTGGCTTTTGGCCAACTTTACCAAAGATTTTGAGGGAAGATCAGAGGTTTTCATAGCTAATATTCTACAATACTGAAACTTACAAGATTTCAATAGATATTTTCCCCCCCTGCTCCCTTCCACTGGGCTGCAAGCACTGAGACTTTCTCTGTCTCTCATCTGCCCCGATTTCTCTTCCTGGATTTCTCCCAGGTGTCACCGATCACCTGTTATTTCCTCCCTTTTTTTCCTGAAGAATTTAGATTTTCTGCAGACTACACTTCTGCACTTGCATGCCCCCATTTTTCCTAGTACGGTGCCAAGATGGAACCCTCCCTCTACCTGGAGGCAGTAGAATTTATAAATAACATATTTGTATAATGTATGCCAGTGTTACATAAAATACATGATCTTATATTGTATTACTGTGACAAACAGGTCAATAAAATCACTCCTTTCTCCAGAAGGACTTTTAATAAAACTAACTATGTGCAGCTATGATAATAATATAATATTGTGGGATTTATAAAGTTAAAGCAATTTTCTTATACATGAATCCATTTAGTCATTACAGATGCTGGATGCGCAGAAATGCATATCTTTTCTTAGACTCCTCGTAGGCCTGCAATTGATATGCACGGTCTTAAAATTGTTAGCAAAAATAATGAAAGTAGAATCGGCTTTTTATCTCTTTTTTTTAGCTAATGACTTTGAGGATAATATTGACTCACAGTTCTTGAATAACAGGAAATAATAGGTTCTGGGTAGAACAGCATAAAATTCAGAAACACATAAAATTCTGGAATTAAAAAATAACTATGTGAGAGAGAGAGAGAGAGAGAGAGAGAGAGAGAGAGAGAGAGAGTGTGTGTGTGTGTGTGTGTGTGTGTGTGTGTGTATTAGGTTATATAACCAATATATAGTTATTAGACTTTCAAGGAAATATACATGTGTGTGTTTGTGTACCATGATAGGCTAAGGAGGCAACATTAGTAAATACCTCCTCAATCTCTGTAACAGAAAATCATAAAGGTTTGCTTGGATGTGTCTGCAGGGGCCTCTGCTAATCACTGTCACTAGGGAAACAAGGGTGGGGAGAAGCCACCGTCTCCATCACCTTGGGTGGCCATGCCAGAGAGTAAAGACAGGTGTGGAGGGTCTACCTGGACATGTCCACATTCCTGTTTGGGAGGAGAAGCCCATTGTTCACAGCTCAGTGTCCAGGACTGGTCATACAGTCCCACCACATCACAGAACAGCCTGGGAGGAGGGAGAGCTGTAATTATTTGGAGATCAGCATTAATGATGTCCAGAATATTTTAATTATATTCTTTGTTAAAGCACTAAGTGATTGCCCCTGAATATGTCCAACCCTTTTTCCAACAAACAAAATCTTCTGTAATTGTTTTAAATCTAAAACTGTTCATCGTGCTTATCCTGAAAAAAAAAATAAGCCCTATTTGATAGGATAGAAGTAGCCATTTCATTCTTTAAAATTCATCTAATTCAAGTATTAATCTCACATGGGAAAAGTAAAGTGTTTCTGGGATTGGGGGAACAAATATATGTCATTATATATATGTTAGAGAGAGGTTTTCAGTAAAGTATTTCTTTCGTAGAACTGTTTTTATTGCACCCAGGTTTTAGAAAACCTTCACCTATGTTTCTTTATTTTTTTCCGAGTTGGAGTCTCACTCTTTGTCGCCCAGGCTGGACACCCTCACAGCCACTGCAGCCTTGACCTCCTGGGCTCAGACAATCCTTCTGCCTAAGCCTTCCAAGTAGCTAGAACTACAGATGCATGCACCATGCCCAGCTAGTTTTTGTGATTTACTGTAGAGACGAGGTCTCACCAAGTTACCCAGGCTGGTCTTGAACCCCCAGTCTCAGGCAATCCTCTCGCCTCGTCTTCCCAAAGTGCTGAGATTACAGGCTGAGCCACCGCACCTGGCCTTTCACCTATGTTTCAAGGATGATATGAAGATACAGTTAATGTGTATGCCTATTTATATATGACTAGTTTAGAGTTATGTGAATTTGTATATGCGTGTGTGTGTGTGTGTGTGTCTGTAAACAATATTCACAGATTTATTAAACCCCACATCAAATTTTGGCTCATGGAAAATTTGGCAAAAAAAAAAATCCATTTGGACACAGAACCATATGCTGAGGCTGACATACTGCCTAAAGAAAAAATATTTTTACATGAGAAAAAACTATCTGACCATCTGTAAAGGCAAGGTGACTGGAATGCAAAGAAGATAGATGGGTTGTCCCTAGGAACAGATGTGACCTATATCTTACGCTTCTCGCTCTCACTCCTGTCTGCCTCGCCCCCGTGGAGTGAAGGAATAGTCTGAGCCAACCATGATAGGACGTGGCATCCTTACCTCTGCCTTTTCCAACTGTTCTGCTGTGCAGGGCTGTGCTTCTTCTGCACTGCTGACTGTGAAACACCCAAGAGTAAGTTAGCACCAGTCCAGCCACGCCACTACTTGCCAGAGTTTCAACACACTTTTTGCTACTGTGCTTGCTCTTGTCTAGAGTCAGCCTTGGAAGAAAATGTCTGCTGTACGAAAGCATCTGCTGAAAACTTAGCAAATTTGAACGAGAGTTTTTAAATGCAAACCATTATAAAGGGTTTATGTTGAGTAACTTGCTCTTCCTGGCTATTGGAAGCCCTCCAAATAAATTATCCTATAGTCATTCTGATCGCTTGTGCTGTAATGATTAAGTGATGAAATTGTGACTCGAATCTGTTTCTCGCCTTTCGTGTTACCCAGATCATCGCCCTGACAATCAATGTGCAGTTCAGTCCAGTCTAGTGAACTCTTCCTGAGTGTTTATCCCTTCCTGGCATCTAGAACAACAAAGATAACAGGACCCCTGACTGGGAGGATGTCACAAGTCAAAAATGGAGCAGGGGTTCCCCAGGGTACAAACAGGCTGCCAACAGGCACATTTGCGGGGTGTGGTAGACAGAGACTATGGCTTGTGCAGTTTATGGCTTCTCGGTTCCTTCCCGCTTTCTGCAACTCAGATGAACTCAGTTTTCATCAGTCTTTGCAACTGCCCCCTCTTCCAGGATATCTGGCTCAGATCTGCTTTCATAAACGGCAGCTCTCTCAGCCACTGCTCTTGATTAACTCCAAATCTCCCCAGCTTCTTTTTTTTCACCCTCACTCAGCCTTTCTTTCACAGTTTCCTGACCCCCGGCAAGCCTGTCACCCCGTTGTTCGGTTTTCTGCCAGTCAACTCCTGGCTGATGTTGAAATTAGCATTCACAAAACCCACATTTGCATCGCACATACATGAGATATCTCCCATCTACAGCCAAAGGAAGACAAGTAGAATATCTGCATAATTGGGAAGAGGTGCTATTAATCACACCGCTTCCAGCTGAGCAGAAGAGACTGCCAGAACACCATAATAATGAGCCAGGTGTGAGATTTCAAGCTTTCTTCTCCTCCAGCACCATTTTCTTCTAGTTAGTATCAGATAGCACATTCAAAGGGAATACAGGTGTGCACGGTTTTCATAAGACCCCCCCCCAATACAAAAAAAAATCCACATTCAAAAAGATAAAACAAAGGTGTGTGGGGAGAGCCTGGGAGGAGATCAACTGGGAGATGGTGTTGTTCATACCACAAAATAATTCATAGGATTCCTTCAAACAATGTGTGATTGGAACTGCACCATTGCAAGATATGTCCACGTGAATTACATCTCTTGACTGTGTCATCGTCCTGCGAAGGCAGCAGGATAGGTTAAAATATTTTCCTAAGACGTTTTAGCTAATAAGTGGGGACGATGGACATGTTCTCACACCAAGCCTGTGAAATAGTCTTCAGTCTGAATGTTGGCACCGGCTGATGGGGCGTGGATCCTTGAAGTCCAACAATTCAGAGGGCAGCAAAGAATACCACCACAACTGATTGGCTATGTCTGCCATGGGTCAGGGGAACAGAGATGTATATGCCTCAATATTTATTAGGCATATGCTATGTTTCACTTCTTGTAATCAACACTATTAAAAGGGAGCATGTTTTACAAGCAAATATTCATAAATGATACTTCAAGAGAAAACATTTATAGCAATAAGTAACCATATATGTTCAATTATATTAAAATTCAAAAAATTTATTGGGGGGGGAAACCCTTAATCTTTCTTTTCTCTAGCCACTTCCAGAGGATCAATATTTCTAAATTTAGTATCAACCTCTTCAACAAGAATTGCTTGTTTTTGTTGTTCTTTATTTTTTTCTGCTTTATTTTCTTTACTTATGACACACTTCTAAGTTCATGGCATGTTGACTATTTTTTGTTTTTTAGGAGACTAGCAAAGGACACTGATAAAAACGTAGCTACACTTACTGTTTCCCACAGCCATTAAAGAGCAGGGAAGTCATGGGAGATTTAGAAAAGGTTTTAATACCTGGTACATGGTTCATAGCTAAAAATTATTTCATTGTCAAGTTTTCCTTCAGCTATATCTATCACCTATACAAGAACTTTGTACTTTATAGAGTGCTTAAAGGAATAAAAACAAACAAAAAAAATCATTGTTCAACAGATTGTGGCAAAAAAGAAAAATGTGGAAAAAAAATACATGCTGTCAAGTCCATGAAGTTACAGATGTTTCCAGTTATTTTCAGTTAATAATTGACGTTTGCCATTTGGCTTGCTAAGATTTGCCAAGGAATATCATTGGTGAAGGAATTTCCCAAGTGTTGAATCCCTTTATCCAAGTGGACTTGAGA